ACTAGCCGATCTAAATTCCTAGACACTCTCATTTCAAAATACTTTACAGAAGATTTTAAAAATAATTATTTGAAAATCAAATAAATAACTTAACTGAAAATCATAGAACATCATTCACTGATTCAGATAGTTGTACATAATTCATATATTCATCGTAAATCTAGATAAACACACAGAATTCGGATAATCATACAGAAATCAAACAATCAAACAGAATTCAGATATTCGTACAGAACAAATGAATCAAATAATAGATATAGAAGAACTGAATAAAATTCGTATCACATATTCGTTCAAATCACAATCCAGATCACATGTCAAATCAGATTTCAAATCATATTTCAGATCAGATTTCCCGGACCTAGATAGAATCTCAAAGATTTCTAGCCCATTTTGCCTCCCTTCCCTAACACAGACAGAATCTCAAAGGATTCTGATCTCTTATGCCTCCCTTTGTGCTTACAGCACCAGAACATATCAGATATACAGAATTATCAGATCAGATTTCATTTTTATATTCCCAAACCCAGACAGAATCTCAAAGGATTCTGGCCCCTTATAACTCCAAACAGATATCATTCAATCACATGTGCACATCAAAACATCACATCATAACAAATACGGTGTAATTAAGCACAATCAAAATTTCACCTTTTTCGTATAGAGACAGATAACAGAAAAGCCAATGAATAAAAAATGTATAATTTCAAAAAATTACCAAATTACCAGAGATTGTATAAAACAACATTTCAAAGCTTTTATTGTACCGAAGCACTATTTTTCGACATCCAGATAATTTTCTATTCGATAAAAACCCCGCAAATTTCAAAATACCCGATGAAAAGTTTTAAGAAAATACTCAAAACGTGCAAATTTATAATCTCTACAACATACCAAAAGTTACGCGGTAAAAGTTCTACCGATTTAAAGTTATTCCCATTTTTCTCTAACGGACACAACTTAATCAGAATATTCGTCAAAACTCATATTTCTGAAAATTGAGATAGACATAATGTGTCTTACCTCGAGTCGACCAACTTTCTCAACTGCGTTGACGAACGAAAGCGAGCCGAAGTCGTCCAAAATGCGGATTCTTCCTCTTTCTCCTTCTCTTTCTCTCCTCTTTCTCTCTCTTCAAAACGTGTCAAACAGTCCATTATATAGAGAAGAGATATTTACAATCGTACGGATGATATTTTTCGTTCGTCCCGGGATAATCGGCTCTGTTTGCGTTCAGACAGAAATCGTACAGACGATAATTGATTTTCGTCTTGGGATGATCGGCTCTGTAAAAAACTCCTTCAGATCGTCCAGAAGATTCTTATAAACGAACTCAGTTTGTACAGAAGCTGAAAGGGTCTCACAGACCATGTTTCTTCTCCTGTTTAGCTCGGAACTAGCACACGAGAAAGCTGTTCGGTTCAACCTGGATAGACCGCACGTAGCTACTCCGTTTCCTCGACTCTTCTAGACGCACGAAACATAGAAGTGTCGTTCGGCTCTTCCTTTCGAACTTTTTTTTAATCCGGTCACCTGACGTAGCTCTACGTTCGGACGCCAGTAAAATAGTGCCACGTGTTCTCACTATTTACCGCGCGGCCCGACAACCCCGACTCGGAATGGAGACGGGAATCTCGGTATTGCTCAGTATTTCTCGGTATTGCTCGGTATTGGTCTTCACAGAGCCATATTTTTCATTATTGCCAAGCAATACTTAGCAATACCAAGCAATACCGAGCAATACCTAGAGCAATATGCGAACATAGCAATCCCGGGTCAAGTCGTCGGGCTGCGTGGTATTGAATAAGACCACGTGGCGACATATTATTGGCGTCCGAATGTAGAGCTACGTCAGGTTACCTGACCTAAGAATTGTTCCTTCCTTTCCCTCTCTCGACCTGGGGCGCAACAAGAAGTCGGTAGGAGAACCGCTCGCATAAGAGCCTAGCCTCACGCAAGAAGAAGAACTCTTCAGCTTAGCCTGGGAGAATTGCACGCAGGGGAAGATGCCTCCACTCGATTTCCTGCTCTCTCCTTTCACTTATTTGGGTACACAAACAAGGCATGTCGGATGCTCAAAACCAAAGAACCTCCCCACTCGTTCACTCGGGTACGCAGGGAACAGAAGGACGACCCTTAGAAACCCTCTCCGACCTCTTTCGTTATGGATGCACGTAGCAGAAAGAGAAACCCCGCCCTCCTTTTCCCTCACTCGGTTTCCTCTATGCACGAAAAGAAGAACTGCAGTTCAATTTTTCCTACAGCACAATCCCTGCTATAGCTGTAGAAATTAAACGGGAAAGCACAAGAAAGTAGCGGTAAAGACTTTTCAAATTTCAGTTGTTGTATTTTGAACTTTGATTTGGAAATTTAATTGGGCTTAGGTTGAACCAATTGGACTAAAATTGAGCCCGAATCAGACTCGATTTGAATCGATTCTAGTTCGATTTGGCTCGATGGAGTTAATTTGATGAAATTGAACATGAATCAGCACCGATTTAAGCTGATTTAGGGTTTGGCGGGGCTGATTTGAATTGATCGGGCTCAATCGAAACCGATCGGGTCCGATTTGACTTTATTTGGGTCGAGTCGACACGAAAAATGCGTCAATATTCTCTAACAATTTTTCTTTCTTGTGGATTTCCTTTCATTGGCAGACATTTTTGGTAGATTTTTTTTTTTCCGACAGAAAACCACTTAAAAATTCACTGAAAACACATTTTCCATGAATTTTGTTAGTTTTATAACGAATTTTTCTGTTAGAAAACTATATGATGAAGGAATGCATCATATAGTTTTAATAGCTTCGACCGTTTGCACCAACTTTGCCTTTGTTTTTTTTGGGGCTTTTTCATTATTAGTAGTCACTGTCGTTCTGAATCACCTTTGCGTCCAGCCACAATTGAATCCAATTCGTGCAATTATAAGGTTCGTCTGCAATAAAAATAAGGGGTTATAGCCTATAAGCATTTGCATCATATCTGTTCTCTGTTAATTTGCTATCTTACGCAAAGGTATTGCTTATTGCATGGATTAGTATCTTTTTAAGATTTTCAAATTTTTTTGCTACAAATTTTTGATAGATTTTCCTTCGGTAAGCTTCGATGCAAAAAAACAATGGAAATGCCACAGAAATTTTCGGTAGAAATATGCACAAGTTTTTTTAGTGAAAACTTTTGCCGGAAATTCTAATTGAAAAAATTTCATCAAATTTATGTCATTTTTTGAATTTCCAACATTTTTTTGTTTGTCAGTTAAAAAAATAATTCTTTATCTGTAATCCGTTGGTAATCTATCGGAAATTTTTCTAGTAGAAATTTATTCCACCGGAAATCATTTTCCCATACGTGTTTTACCGACGGAAATTAAATTCTGACGTAAATGCTTAGATTTCCTACTGATTTTTCTGTGGAGTATCGCACATTTTACTGTTGTGAACCTCAACCTAGGTATGTTAGTCTTAGAAGACTATCACTTGAATGCACCAACCTAGACAAGACATTAGAGCTCCTGATAACAACTACAATCAAATCAAAATTGAAGCTCCAACATTTGATGGTATAAATGGGCCAAACAAAATTTTTTATTGGTTAACTAAAATCGGTGATCTCTGACTGATGTAGCATGATGAATTTTTAATTCGTATTACTTGGACAATTATGATAAAATTAATTTTGCAAATATCAAACTCATAAGACACTCTAAAATCTATTTGACCAATTTTTTTGACTAATAATAGAGAAATGGTAGAAATCAATTAATCTGCATTGAAATATAGGAAATATTAAAAGCCTAGCATTGCCTTAGGTTTTATGGAAAATACTCGCATGCTTAACTATTAGCTCCGAAATAAATAAATGTGCCTGTAATTGATTATATATGTGCCTAATGCATTTTTGACAGTAGTTTTTATTTAATATCTTTCATTTGTTACTTCACATATTGAAGATTATTTCAAGAACATTTCTGCTAAACAGATGATATCTATGCATGGTGCTTTGTTTGGCTGATATTCACTCTATTGTCATCTTTGCTTGTGAGGTATTCTGTGAAATGAATATTAGACCAAAAAACTCTCTTAAACTCTTTTATGGTGATGATAATAGACATCAGAATAAATATTGTTTAGGAAATTGCGGGGTTAAAATTTTAAATCTATCGAGGGAAATAGAAGTGAACTCGGGCTTTTTTGAGCTTGAAAGACAAAGCAAAAGGAGTAACCGTATTTCACAATTATTCACCTCAAGTAGAAATCTAGAATCAGCACGAATAGGTAGTTTAAAGTAGTAGGAATTTGGGTAAGACGATGACTACTGATGCTGGTGATGGAATCAGGTATCTTCTCAATTGACATTGCTGCAGTTAAAAATCTACATATCGTGAAATTTTTATATATTTATTATCTAACACCTAAATCTTTATATTTACATAAATATCACTAGGCTCTAAATTACAAAATATATTTTATTTTAAATAAGTTAGTGATATTTTTGATATGATTTAGATATCTGAATTTTATATAAGTAAATATAAAAATTTAGAGGTTAGATATATAAATTTATATTACATTTGTGGTGTGTGTAAATCCTCCAAACTTTAAATACTACTATTTCAAAATCTTCAAAACTCACATATGAAAAAAGTAATAAAAAAATGGGAGATTTACGTACATACCACCTTATACTACTCTATTTACATATTTTTACATCTAAAATTTTAATATTACATACATAATACCCATAGTTCCTTTTCATATCAAATATGAGTAGTAGAAATAAAATATATGAGTGGTAGGAAGGAAATAAGAGTGGTATATTTGATATTAAAATAATATAGGGATGTATATATGTAATATTAAACTTTTGGGTGTTAGATATGTAAATATGATGGAATAAAGTGGTATGTATGTAAATTTCCCTAAAAAGATTCATGCATCATTTTATATTTGCTTTTTTCTGTTAGATTTTTATGATGCTTGCTTCTCTCTGTCATCACTTCAGGGAAGAGGTTCTTGTGGCTTCTTTAAATGGTGCAATGAGCAGGGCTCTGTTCCAAGACAATCTTCCTTCTCCCAGCAGTTCCAGGGTAGTTCTAACATTTCTAACTGTTGGTCGTCGGCTGATAAAAGTAATTCCTCTTGCTTCAAATGCGGCCAAGAAGGTCACTGGGCTAAGGACTGCCAGAATCAATCATCAAATTCCTTCGTAAGTGAAGGTAAAAATCAACTTTCTTCAGGCTCTTGCTTCAAATGTGGCAAAGCTGGACACTGGGCAAGGGACTGCCCTGCCCAGAGTAATGTTGCCACTGCCAGTGGTGCTAAAAGGTATTTTGGTTCTTCTCAAAGCTCCTAAAGTCACAGATGTAAGTAAGAAATAACTAGTAGTTATCTTAGATCGAGATTTAGTGGGGCTGACTTAGTTTGAACGTTTTTGCAAATTTCTAGAAGTTTGTAGTCTTCTGCTGTAAAACCATTACAGAGTTATTTTGTGGTAATATTCTCGTATAGTGTTCTGGAATTTTGTCGTAATATTATATAATGTTCTGCCTGGATAATGTTGAATATGCGTTGATTTGAGCGAGTATATCTAATTATCAAACCTCTTTCTGGTCATAGTCCATTACTGTTGAATTGCTATCTGATCAATCTCTATCCTCTTGGCCTTCTCGACCAATTGAGAAAAATCTGTTATGCCACTATTTGTTTAAAAAGTTGAGTTTTTATAAGATTAATTTATTTTTGAAAAATTTTTAGTTTTGGAATTTCTATTTTAAAATCGAACACGTCATTTTGAACAATATATCGCCTCGTGGGCGAATATATCATTCCCTAATGGGTTCAAATTATGAAACTGCAAGTTCATCCTGATTATCGTAGTCAAACTTAGGGGAGAACCACATATGACTCCAGAGGATCAAAATGATATTAATCGAGTGTTTGACTATAATAATCTGGATAAGAGATCATTAATTTTATGATCAGTCGCATGCTAATAGTGGCTACCTCAAACTATCCTACAGTGCCTCTAGAAATCTATAACACTTCTCCTCAAAAGTGTCAATCAACTATAGAGCATACCTGAAGAGAATAGTAAAATCTACCTCGTACTACATCACTATCATTATGTCATTTTCCCTTAAATCAATTTCAAAAGGGAGTTGTGTAGCTATCTTTTAGTAGATAGAGGTACAAACTAAGTCTTGAGCATCTCTGTAAACTCTTCCTAAGTAATCAACGTATTATCACGAACTTGAAACTTCTCCTTATACTAACCAAGCCACCAGCATTCTGCCTGAACATTACAACTCTCCGCTCAGGAAGATAATGCATCCTATCGAGAGTATTCTCTATCACATTGAGCCAATCTTTAACTACACTAAGCTCAATAATACTTAAAAGTTTTAAGAGGTTGAAATATCATAAAATTTTATAAATACTTATCCATTTCTCACCTACTAGATGTGCTACCAGACCTATAATCTGGGAAACTGCCTCAAAACTAATCATAGGAGTTGTTCCCTTAACATGAGCTACCTTACTAGAGCTCTAATTGTTGGACATATCTGGATCTGGCTAATCCATCTCAAAAATGTTAAACATAACTATATACAATATGAAAAAATAAACAAAATGAGCACCCAAAACTATCAAGAGTTATCTCACTCTTTTACAGATCAAATCTTATGTCTTAGTTACGATTCGCTTCTCCAACTGACGCTCTAATATTAAAAGCTTATCACAAGCCAACCCGATATGACTCGATACCACATAGTTCATATCATGCCCACTCGTAGAAAGAACCAGAAGTTGACCCCAAGATCTATTTGGACAAGTGCTAAGCAAAAAAAAAACAAAACTTTTAATTTAAATAACATAAAACCATTGTTGATTATAATATAAATTGGAAGAATATATCCCAAAAATGATTTTTTTATATATCATCCTAAAATACATGTATAATTTATGATTTATCTATATAATAATATTTCGTAATAGAAAGTACAACAAAAATAAAAGCCAAGCCTTAAAAATTGAAACTAGCTAAAAAGGCATAGGTATAATATAGATCAGAGTCTGATATCAAAAATTACTCTGCTTGCTCCTTATCCTTTTTCTAACCTAAAAATGGAAGTAAAAGTAAGAATGTGCTCACATTGCTCAATAGGCTATCATAGCCTAAAATTAAAAAACAATATCTTAAACCAAAATGACTAAAAATATTGTGTTATAGTAATAAATTGAAGTATTGCAAGAAATATGAAATTGAAACAAATACTAATACTTACCATTTAATAAGCATTTAAATAACTACTAGAACTATACTGAGGCTAGCTGAAATATAAATAAACATTTTATAGTAATTATCAAAATGGCTCTCAAGCCCCAATTTTTAGATAATAATAATAATAATAATAATAATTATAATTATAATTATAATTGTAATTATAATTATAATTATAATTGTAATTATAATTATAATTATAATTATAATAAATAGAGTTTCTTCTCGTCACCAATAGAATCCCTTCTCTCCGCCAACAGAAACCATTATCAGGGAAAATCAGAATAACCCTCAAGCTTCATAATCATAATAGCCCTCAAGCTTCAGAGTTTTTTTATCACATAACATATAATAGAATTCCTCTCTTTGACAATAAAATCCCTTCTCTCGACCAATATAATCACTTCTCTTCGCAAACATAATATCTTCTCTCTACTAATTCAAATTAAATAAATTCATATTCCAATGCATTGCAGTAAGTAAAGTATAATTAAACTCAATTCAAAATTTGCCAAGATACCTTAATGGTATGCAATAAAAAAACACTACTGCGTATAAATTCATATTTTTAGAAACTAACAAAATTATCAAAGATCGTATATAACAATATTCTAAAGCTTTAACTTAACTAAAGAACTATTTTTAGATGTTAAAAAAATTTAAAATTACTAAAATTATTGCTTTTTTTAAAATCGCCTCAAAAAAATATAAAATAAATACTCAAAATAACCAGAATAGTCGTACCGATAACATATAAAAAATCAAACAAGTAAAAATTACCAGAATATAATAAAACTAATTTTTGTCAAGCAAATTATAAATTTTATTGAAAAATTCTAAAAATAATAAATTATTGAAAATTTAAATAGGAAAAACATAATATACCTTGGGAAGAATAAATTTTTTAATTGGATAAACTGACAAAAATGACTCTATGACCTATAAATACTAGCTTTTTTTTCCTCTAATCTCTTTTCTTTAAGGCTGTCAAAATCAGGTCAACGGGTCGGGTTCGGGTCCAACCCGAAACTGATCATTCATTGTTCAACCTGACGCGAACCCAACATATTTTTGCAAACGGGTCAGTTTTTCGAAAAGGAACCCAACCTACTTCGGGTCCGTGTCAACCTGAATCCGACCCGCTTCGGGTATGTTTTCTTAAATTTTTTTATTTAATTCAATTTATTTAAACGAAAATTAAATTACGGTAAGATTTACTTCAATCAATATAAAATAAATAAAGCTTAATTTAATTTAAGGAACAATATTTGTTATATTTTAGAAATATCATTTACTTATTTTATAATAATATTTTAAAACCCTAATAAATTAATTAGAAACAGAACCGTATTGATTTCGGGTTTGCGGGTCAACCTAAACCAGATCCGTTTCTACAAACGGGTCGAAATCTCTAACCCGAACCAAACCTAGTCCGATCCCAAAATTTTCGGGTTGGGTTGTCGGGTTAGGTCAAAAATTGACACCCCTACTTTTCTTCTCATTTTCCCTAATCTATTCTCTATCAAAATGACATTGTGGCATGGAAAATGACTTTAATGAGTTTTTTTGTTGATAAATATTTTGTTTTTATGATAAAATATATTTATGACATAAAGGTAATTATTTCAATTATTCAATTATTAATGATCAATCCTTATAAATTCTTTTATATCTTTAAATTAGGAGATAAAAAAATATTCATAAATTAGCTAAGCATCTTAAAATACTTTAGTGAAATCGGTTTGCAAAATGAAGACCTAATGTCCCAAAAATCTCACTACCGACCATGAGTTAATTTCTTAAAAAATTGTAGCAATGCCCAAAAATTAAGAAAAAATTATTATAGTTAAAGCACAATAATATCTATGTTATGACGAAGACAATTTGCAGTTTTAACTTATAATAACTCATGAAATAATTTTTATATTATAGTTCAAAATATATCTTTTAAAATTTAAGAGCTATCATATTAACACACTTGAATACTCGTTATTGTCATTATTATCAACCATCATCAACAATAATTAATGAATGAGGGCAATAGAGAATTATTTTTCTTAGGAATTCTCAAAAAGTGCCCAAAGGAGGATCTCTTAGCCTTACCAATGAGATTATTGTCTTCAAATTGCCCGACAAGTTTCTCCATAACTCCCCCTGCTTTGTATGACTACTGTAATAGCTCTCAAATTGTAGGATTATATATCACATCCATATGCATGTCATGTTAATTAAAATTAGCCAATATGAACTAATATCGACAATAATTGAATCATCTTTGATCATAATTGAACAAACTTAACAATGGTTGTACCATGTTGGATCATGATCGACCAATATTTGACACATCTTCAATGAGTTCATGCTGTTTTCAACCCGCAATTAAGCAAAATCTTTGAAGCTTGGAGCCATGTTCAACGCATGATCTACGATTTGTTGCCCTTGTCTGTTCATGATCAAACCCTTATAAAAAATTAATAGAATATCAAATAATATTTGATCATATTTTGAATAATGTTCTATCATAATTTATTCATGATTCCAAGATGAATGTGATTGCATATATGACATAAAAAGTTCCTAAATGGAGTTTAGAGTTTAAAGGGTGAAACCTACTTTTGAAAATGAAAGCCAAAATGAAAAACATCACTAGTTTTAGAAGATAATAATTGGAGAGAGATTGTTATTTGTCAGAAGTCGGTGATGCATGCTCTACAACTAGAGAATGTGATACAAAGAATAAAAATCATGAAGATGTTATGATCAAAAGATTGCATAATTGTTTGACATGATTTTTTACTTTATTTGTTAGAAAGGCACCCCTATTTTATTAATGAGAACTTTTAGTCATATTTTCTTGTTGCAAGCTAAAATATACGTGACGGTAGAGTTTGTAAATTCGCGTCTGAGCGTTGTACGAATATTCAGCACATAAACAAAAAAGAGAATGAACACCAGAATTTTTACGTGGAAAACCCGGAAGAGGGAAAAAACCATGGGGTCACGCCCAGTTGAAATAATTCCACTAGTGTTTCTTTGAAGTACAAAGACCGATTCGTCTCACAAGTCAAGACGATCGGTTTACAATCAGCTTCTAACAAAGTTATAAAGTTTTGTGAAATCCCGACGTTTTCGAGAAATCCGGCAGAGTTCCGGCGTATTCAGGCGGCGGGAAGAGCTCCAGCGGTGGTCGAGGAGGAGATGATTCGCCCTTTCCCCTTTTTCTTCTTCTTCTCTCTCTTCTCACTTGAGTCCTCTTGTGAAGAATGAGGACTCTATTTATAGTTTTTCTGGAGTGGCATGGCTTGTAAATATGTGTGAGATCATGGGCAAATAGGGAGTGGTCGAATGGACGGCCGATATTGAACCCTTCAATCGTGCACCATTTGTTGGACATTTAAAGGCCTTAAGAGTGTCAGAATTCGGCTATCTTGGGCTCGTTGGATTGGTCTCGTCGAGCCGTTCGATTCAAGTATAAGCTCGTTAAAATCGAAGATCGTTTGGTAACTCAAATTGTGGTTTGAACCTTCCAACAACGCTTTGGGTCCTTGATTTGGATTTATTTGGGCTCGGGTTGGGTTGAATTTGGTGTCGTTGGGTTCGTATTTCTGAGACGCTCAGTTTGACTATAAGCTCACTGAAATCGGAGTTCGGGTGTTTCCGGATTTAATTTTTGAAGTTTTCGGGTTGAGTTTTTCCTCGAGATTTGTGCCCGATCAAGATTATTTCATGATGACGTATCATTTCTAATGAAAATAGCATACTTATTTCTTTAATTTCCTTAATTTCTATTATTACGTTTTCAAAAAAATTTAGATTAATATTGTGGAGGATTTCATGAAGAATTAATAAATGAATTTTATTTTTTTTAAACTAAAAATGAAGTTTTCTTATAAATAATAAATCAATATTTTATATATTTATTTATCAGATTCTTTTTGAAATCTCGGTTTTGATAACGACTCACGAGCACCGACTCCTCACCTGCCAAGCCCTAGATAGCCTTTTGTCGAATCCTCCACGGCCGAATCTTGGTGCAAAACTAGCCGTCACCCACCGAGCCAACACGCCGGATCACCATGGACTCGCGCCGTCTCCCGCGAACTGTTATCGACCCTAAGGTCCGCCTGGTAGGCTTCTTCACATCCGGTGATCCACCACCGGCACGCTTTAACCCCAACACCGCGGATGCTACTGCCGCCACCGCCGCCGCCATATCTTCCTCTTCACAGAATTCCGATATCAACCTCACCGGCAATTCCCTTTCCCCCGTCATGATCCCACCACTTCGTCGCATGTCGCCTCGCCGGTGCGATGAGATGCAGATGCCGATCGGGAGCTACAACCCGTCGGAATCCTTACTAGGGACGTCGCCCTCGAGAAGAGGAATTAATGGACCGGATTTTTCTGAGGTTGCAACCTCGGCGTGGCTTGGGATATCTGGGTCTATGAAGGCTGCGGCGTCATTCCCGGGAAGTAGCGGGGAAATGATGATGGTTGGGAAGAATGGCGGGAATGCTCTGGTTAAGAACATGGATACAACAGAATTGGCTGCAAAAACGGTTCCAGGGGTAACTGGTATGTGATAACAAGCATGCGTATTTTTGTTTGTTATTGTAGCTCATAGGTGTGACTTGAAGGACGTATTCGCAGGAGAGATCTCGGAAATTGTGATTTTGTTGGAGAATTTTTGGACTTTCTTTAATTATGGACGTAATGGCGTATTCTACAATTTCATGCTTGAGGGATTCCCTTTCCAAAACATCAATAATGTCATTGAAAGATTTGGTCTCCTTTACACAACTATACCTTTTTGTCCATTTCATACATAATGAAAAACTCATAATCGCTGAATGTTGAGCCATTCCTTAATCGCTGCCTCAATAAATACTTAATTGATGAATATATTCTTAATAAATATGCTTCTTTTTCCATCTCCTAGTTGAATTTTGAGCCATCCCTTTATCGCTTGCCCAATTCTGGAAGATGAAGTGGACTCGTCAGTGGTACTGTCTTTTTCGTGAAAGAGAGAAGGTGATGTAAATCCGAGGAATTACCAATGAAACTTGGGAAATTTGGGAAATTAGAAAAATAATGAGTAATCAAGCTGAAAAAAAGGAAGTAGGATTTTTTTAATAAGTTGGTTACTAACATATTGAATTCTATTTTTTTAATTATATTTTAGATTGATATTCTTAAATGAGCTGGCTCCTTAGCATAGAGGAGTAGTTCAAGCTCAGCTAATTGGCTCATTTAGCTGAGTTCACGAGCCATTTATCTACCTGAGCATGAGCAGACTCATTAGTTAGCTTTGCTTAGTTGCATCCTTATTCTAAAGTATGTGATTGAAGTAATTAGAGGGATTTAGCAATTTAGTATAAATATATGGGCATTGTAGGATTCATGTGCAGATGGAGAATCTTCCAATGAATATAGTTGATCCCAGATCTCTAATCAAAGGAACTACCTGCAGAGAAGGACGGTGGAACTCTTACTGATATGAAAAATGAAGGGGCTGGGACTGTTAGACATCAGAAACAGATGACCACTAGAGCTGAACGACGAGCCATTCAGGAAGCACAACGAGCCTCAAAGGCTGCAGCAATGATGGATGGTAATATTTTTGTTAACCATTTCAAGAGCATGCTTACAGATTATCCTAAAATGACAGCTGATAGCACAGTGTTTCTAATTAGCCATGAAATGCACACAAAAACACCACAAAAGTTTTTAACACCAGATACATCCACGGGCTTGCTTGCTTGCGAGAAATGATATATTGCTTACTCTCTTTTGCTAAATCTCATGCTATGCTTAGTTGCTTTTTTTTTTTACATTTTTTTTGTATTATTTTTGCGACTTCAAGTCCTTCATTTGCATGATTTGAGCTATTACACGCCTTCAAATTCCACAGCTGTTTATGTTATCATTGATACCTTTCATAACTAGCTGAGAATAGAGAAGTTACGGGACCTTTAGTTCATTTTCTGTGTAGATGGGAAAGGTTAATTAATGTCCCAAAATAAACTAGTTGCTTCTCCTGTATATGATTGACTGATTGTATGTTATTGCGTTGCTGATATTAATTCTAGCTGTAGGTTTTTGATATATATAAGATGTTGTGTATGGAACTTATTTTTTTACTGCTTTATGAGTAGGGTTTTAAGTGACTATTTGTCACAACATTGCAGCCACATTTATAGGTTGTCAAAACTAACCAATGCATTCACAGCTTTAAGCAGCCTTTTCATAGATAAAATTAGCCAATATTAACTAATGAGGCACATCAAACCATGTACAATTAGTAACTTGAATTTTCTATGCACCTTGTATTTTATTGCCAGGGATTATTCAATTTTACACGGTTGAGTCAAAATAGGCTTTGTTGTAAACATTTCACTTGGCCACAGATGGAGTGGGCTATGCAGATCAAAAGCTACCAAATGAGGCATATCAAACCATGTACAATTAGCAACTTAAATTTTCTATGCAGCTTGCATTTTATTACCAGGGATTATTCAATTTTACATGGTTGAGTCAAAATAGGCTTTGTTGTGAACATTTCACTTGGCCACACATGGAGTGGGCCATGCAGGTCAAATGCCGTTTATGTCGTAAGCTGGTGCTGCATTTTCGATCATTCCTTTGGTTTTGGGGTTACATTCAAGTAATTTTCTTTTATTCTTGTAGCAATTACATTCAAATAATTTTTTTCTCCCATCCATTTCTGCTTGCATGTTATGAATTGCTTTGGTCTGAAATAAGAAACAGGATTGGATTATCTTTTGGTTGTGTGAGGTCCAACAGCATTGGACCTAGGATGAACTCAGCTGACTAGTAGTTGGATTAAGTCTAGGTTGTGACAGCGTGTTGACACTATAAGCACGATTCCTCCACTATTTAAAAGATGATAGAGTTATGATCTGCTTTTAACTTGAGGAACATTAAGAATTTTAAGTGATAAGCTTGCTGTGAACGTTATAACTGTTACAGGATTTTCTTCCTTCAAATCACTATTATCCTATACAATGTTCTCAAACATGGTCATATTCTTAGGCCTTGCTTCGTAATGTATTGTGTTTCAAATACTATCAATAACCTCATTTTAAATTTCTTGAGAAACATAAAATTGAAATCCATAACTATCTTGCCCACCTCCGGTACTTAGAATAATTATGTAAATATAATAAAATGGTCATGCAAAAGGGATCAAATACACTAATTTTGCATAAGATTTATAAAAATAATCATATGCGAATCTATAAATATAAAGAGTCATGATAGTAATTTCAAATTTCAGCTAATCATGCTAATGAAATATTTGAGGCTAAGGATCATTTTTCATGTCTCTAAGTAGTGTCATTATGTGTAGATATCATTGTTAACCATAACTTCGGTAGAGAATACCTATTTAGCGAAACTAAGTTGTATAAGCTTGATCACAAAATTTGCTTATCACTTGATCCTCGTAACTAACCCAAGCTTCTTCTCATGCTATGTGAATCATATAATTTTAAGTATGAAAAACTAAGTATCTATCACAATATTATTGGGTATACACTTAAGATGGAATGTGTTGCAAAACCTGACTTCTATTTTTATTATGATACTAATTAAAATTTTGAAAATAGACATGATAAAGGGTCTATACATAAAAAATAGAGTCATATAAGATTTTTGAAGTATGGTCATGTAAAGACGTAAGCATACAAGTCTATGAATAAACTAGTAAGAACATTTATGCATACAAAATTTGTTAGCATAATCAAAATATGAATTAACTATATAAAATGTATGCTAGAAGCACACATCATATGTTCATAAAGATTGGATGATTTTTAAGAGAAGTATCTATTAGTTGAATATGTATGAAACTTAGGCTAATCCAAGGACCATAAATATTAGTAAGAAGGATGATAAAATGTTACCAAACATATTAGCTCATACCATGCCTTCTAAGTTTAGATTGACGCACATACCTTGAATATTTTCATCTTTGAACTTGCGTATTCTATACCTTATTGACATGTCTTCATTAGTCTTTCATGAAGACATACCTAACGTGAACTTTGGTACCTAAATAAGTTTAGGTCTACTAACATTTGTATCATGTCCACTAGAAACATGTGTCAATGGTGATCAACAAAAAATGTGCCTTTGAAATTCAAACATGTGATTATAAAGTAATGGTGTTGATGGATTTCTTAAATGCTCAAATATAGGAAACACATTTGAATTTATTATAATAATTATAATGCTTTTTGGGTGTCATATGCATAAAAGATTTAACAGTTTTACTATCATACTTCTTAAGAGAATGTGTCATACTTGATGTGCAACAAATATGCAACATCTTACAAGAAGCTGTAGTGCTAATAGTGGTAATAGATAAATTATTCACTCTAGTTTTTACACTAGCATTTTCATCTTCTAAAGAATTTAATTTTAATATTATGAATATCAATGACATAGCCACTAGTATTGGTAGAACAACAAGATGCGGAAGTGTTAGATAAAGATGCTTCAAGAAGTTGTAGTGCTAATAGAGGCAATAGATAAATTATTCATTATACTTTTTACACTAGCATTTTCATCTTCTAAAAACTTTAATTTTAAAATTATGTATATCGATGTCATAAACCATCAAGTTCACACTTCAAACTAGTAATCTCATTCCTAGGTTTTCATTTTTTTCAATTTCTAATAAACAACCTCATTTTGATTGATCATTCAGCTATTCCAAATTATGCATGTATGAAGATGAATCATTCCTAAGTCTATCATTCTCATCTACAAGCATGAAACATATGTCTATTTTTCACTTAAATCTGCAATGTCATGCTTGAGGGATTCATTTTTCAAAACATCAATAATATCATTGAAAGAATTGGTCTCCTTTACAAAAATATACTATTTTTTCATTTCATACTTAATAAATAACTCATAATCACTAAAATTTGAGCTATTCCTTAATTGTTGGCTCAATAAATATTTAATCGCTGAATAAGTACTAATAAGTATACTTCTTTTACCATTTACTGGTTGAATTTTAAGCCATCCCTTAATTGCTGGCTCAATTTGGAAGTTCAAGTGAACTTATTAGCCATAATGTTTTTTTATGAATGCGAGAAGGTGATGCAAATCCGGGGAATCGCATCAATGAAATTAGGGAAATTTGAAAAATTAGAGAAATTATGAGAATTCTAGCTGAAAAATAAATGACCTATAACAACGACTAGCTTTTATCCTACTGTGTGAGATCGACTACATAAATCTTTTTTTTTTCATTGTGTCCTACTAAGCTTCAAATTCTGATTTAAGTCTAATAAAATATGTTATTTTAAACTCTTTCTTACCAAATCTTTCTAGGCTGAAAAAGAGGAGGTAAATTTTTTTTAATAACTTGATAACTAATCTATTGAATTCTAATTTTTTAATTATATTTTAGATCGATATTTTTAAATGAGCTTGCTCTTTAGCCTAGAGGATTAGCTCAAAGCTTAGTTAATTGGCTCATTGGTTGAGTTCATCAACCATTTATATACCTGAGCTTGAGCAAGCTCATTAGTTAGCTTTGCTCAGTTAGATCCTTATTCTAAAGTTTGTGATTGAAGTAATGAGACGGATGTAGCAATTTAGTATAGATATATGGGCATTATAGGATTCATGTGCAGATGGAGAATCTTCCAGTGAATAGTTGATCCCAGTTCTCTAATCAAAGGAACTTCGTGCAGAGAAGGATGGTGGAACTCGTACTGATATTAAAAATGAAGGGGCTGGGACTGTTAGACATCAGAAACAGACGACCACTAAAGCTGAACGACGAGCCATTCAGGAAGCACAACGAGCCTCAAAGGCTGTAACAATGATGGATGGTAATATGTTTGTTAACCATTTCTAGAGCATGCTTACAGATTTTCCTCAAATGACTGCTGACAGTACAGTGTTCCTTATTGGCATGCAATGCACACTGAATCAAAAAATCTACCAATGCTTTTAACTAACAGATACATCCGCTCTGGCTTCCTTGCTTGTGAGAAGTGATATCTTGCTTACTATCTTTTTGCTAAAAATCATGCTATGCTTAGCTGTTCTTTGTTATAGTTTTGTGTGCATTATTTTATGCGACTTCAAATCCTTTATTTGCATGATTTGAATTTTTTCTTCTGCCTTTAAATTCCATAACTGTTTATGTTACCATCGATACCTTGCATTACTAGCTGAAAATAGAGAAGTTCGTAGACCTTTAGTTCATTTTCTGTGTAAATGAGAAGGGTTAATTAATGTCTCAGAAATAAATTAGTTTCTTTTCTTGTATATGATTGCATTTTATTGTGTTTCTGAGATTAATTCTAGCTGTAGGCTTTTAATCTAGATAAGATGTGGAGTTTGGAACTTATTTTTTTTTCTGCTTTGTTGGTAGGGTTTTAAGTGACCATATTTGACACTACATTGCAGCCACATTTATAGGTTGCCAAAACTAACCAATGCAATCACAGCTTTAAGCAGCCTTTATCAAGCTACCAAATGAGGCACATCAAACCATGTACGATTAGCAACTTGAATTTTCTATGCACCTTGCATTTTATTACCCGGGATTATTCAATTTTACATGGTAGATCAAAATAGGTCTTGTTGTAAAAATTTCACTTGGCCACAAATGGAGTAGACCATGCAGGTCAAATGCTGCTTAGATCCTAAGCTGGTGCTTCATTTTCTTTCATTTCTTCGGTTGTGGAGTTACATTCAAGTACTTTTCTGTAGAAAACATCAGTGACATAATTACCAATCTGTAAATTGCTTTTTCTGTGGAATAACGATTTAATAAGTTTTTTCCATGCTTCAAAAGTTTTGTCATCAGCACCACATTTGAATCTTAAAGGGCTTATTAGGGAAATGAAAGTTTCCATCCTATGCATATGAGTGAATTTTCAAACCTCAAACAAATTTAGAAGTTTGGCGTTAACATGCAGAGTTATGAATCTTTCCACTTATACACTTCAATTTCAACATTTTTATATGCTTATATTTGTTTGTAGTTTACAGCTGTGGATTTTTATCTTATCTCATATAATTAGTATATTCCCACATCTTGGTAATTATAGGTAAAGGAGGCAAGTCTATAGCTTCAACTGGAGGTGGAGCTCCTTCTATCTCAAACCAAGAGAAGGTTCTGAAACAATCTCAAAAGAAGGATGGGCCTCAGGAAACTGGTGCAACTTCTGAAAAGAAGGTTAGCCGCAACCCTGATAAAGACAGAAAAAAAGATATTCCTCAGCCTCGAATGCAGTTTGATGATAAGAATCGGGTTGAAAAGGCTAAAAGACGGGCAGTTGTTAATCAGTTTGAAGCTAGAAATAGAGTTGAGTTGTTCCGGCACTTGCCTCAGTATGAACATGGACCTCAGCTTCCATATCTTGAATCAAAGTTTTTTCACCTTGATAATATACATCCTTCGGTATACAAGGTATCACTTAATTCATCCTTCTTTTCTCGAACTATGCTGATATGCACTGTTTGCCGAATTTTGCTTTATCATATAGAAAGTGCATGCATTGTGGATGAAATTGTGCACGTGCCTTCCATACGATTTTGATTGTTCTTCTTAAAATCATCTTTATGAAGATCCAATCAACCCTGTAGATTATGCTATATATTTTATTTATGTTGCGAATAATTTGCTTTTTGTTCTGTTTTGACAAGCTTACCGAAGAGAGAATTACTAGTTATTATTACAACATAGGTGCTCAGGACTCATTTTTTGAACTGCAGTAAAATCATCCCTTGTTCCTTGATAATGACCATCGTCAGCCACAAAAGCATTAGCAGCTTTGCTGCTACTATTTGGCTTCACAACTTTTTCTGCAACGTCAAGAGTGTTAAAGTTTCATAATGTTTATTATGATAGTTATACGGCACCTCGAGAGGGGAGTAAATCAGATGTGTAACCAGTTCTTAGAAATTCTTTTAAAATTCTTCAATTAAATCCTACATAATATAAACAAATAAATCAAATACACACAAATACAAGTGTCGGTGAGTCTACTTAATTTGTTGTGCTAACACAAGTCTGAACAAGTTATAAACACAATATAAATGATATCACTCATTAATATTAACATGCAAACTTGTGAGCAGTTGATGTAGCTTACCGTTGTACAGAAGAAATATGGTAAGGTGTATGAATATTAGTGATCTATCTGTGAATAAATAAACAACTGAAATAAATAAGTGGGCATAATGATGATAGATATAATCCATCGTACATGCTAAGTTCCCTTAGCACATCAAACACTTAAGTACGCATTATCTGAGTGTACAAACAATAACGATGAAGACAGTAAAGACACAATGATAGGAATGTGTATCACAATGTAAAGCTTAATATGAGGATTATTCTACAACACTAGCATATTAGCATATAGCATTCCAAAACATCAAATAAACATAAAAGCATATAAACAAGGCAAGTTATACTCAAAGTAAATGAATTTAGCTTTAAATTGATAAGCATAATGATTTTTATATGGTTTGGAACTTAACTCTCTATGATTTAACTAATTTAGTCCTTATATCAAAGAAGCTCTCTCTCCTCAATTACGGAGTAACCAATACATGTTACTCTCCTACACTTGGTGAGGACAATCACAATCATCCATCCTCATGGGCTAGAAAAATCCAAAATTAAGATTACGTATTATTGCCTTTCTAAAATCTTTCAAAGTTTTAGTGATAATACTTTCTAAAATCTTTCAAAGTTTTAGTGGTTCGCATAACTAATACCAAAAACTAAAAATATTCAATCTCTACGAATATGATTGCAAAGTTCGCAAAAGCAAAACAAGAAATAAAGTAACTACAAGAGATTGATAGTATACTAGCATAACATTACTAAGAGTATACAATCTATATAAATAAGATTCCAAGATGCGCAAAAGCAAAATTATAAATGAACTAATTACAGTAGATTGAGATGGATGCTAGCATAATAGTGCAATTAAATGAACTTAGCCATACAAAATGGTCGCAAGAAACCTATGAGAATATAAACATCCAAAACATCACATAAACAAACTAACTACAAGGATTACTCTGCAACACTAGTATATGACCACATGTCTATCCAAAATATCATATAAACATAAAAGCATGTAAACCAAGTAATAGTGAAAGAAATGAATTTAGCTACAAAGAGATGGATGGACACATGATTTGTACATGGTTTGAATTCCAATCGATCTAGATTCATACTTAAGCACACCGTCCCTTCGTTTCCACTAATTCCTCCTACTGGAGAAGTCATCTATTTAGCATGAGTAGCCAGTACACAATACTCTCTTACATATGGTGAGCACAATTGTAATCACTTATCCTTCTCAGGCTAGGAAAACACAAAGCTAAGATTAAAAGTATAATATCATTTTAAAACCTTCAAAGGCTTTGGTGGTGTACAAGATCAAACCTAAAAGCCAAGAATATACAATCTCTACTGTCAAGATTGCAATATGTACAACACTAAATCAATAAACAAACTAATTTTAATAGATTGAGTGTGCGAGGTCATCAAAGGAAAACTTCAAGGTGATTTGCTTAGATGAACGTTTTGATTTTTCTTCAAATTCCTTCACAAAATGGATTCAACAGTTAAGTTATTTTCTTTAACATTTCATATATTTTCTTAGAGTTATTTTAAATCTTATTTATAGTTCTCGTTAATACAAAAATATTAACCTTAAATTCCTCTCTAAAATTCCAAAATTCACCAAGTTAATACTAGCCATTATGTATAGCAACCGGCAATTACTGGTGACTTTAGGGAAGAAGAGCTGCCCGTGAACCATGCAACAAAACCTCTCAAGGAGCTTTGACAAGTGCAATAAACTATCTTGTTAAGAAAATTGCTAATGATTCGTTTTAATAAAAATAAATGTTATGCTAATAAATACTTATAAATATTTAAGAATCATAAATAAAATAGAGAATTAATAATATGTTTTCGAGGCTGCTTGCGCTACTATTTTGAGACAATGGATGCTTTGTGTTAGGTTTGGGGCTCTTCTCAACAATGAGGCAGAGGTGAACAATGATATAGGAAATAATTAGATATCCTTATCTTTACTAAGGAGACTTTTCTATTCCATAAAAATGCAGTGTTCTCTAATTTGAATTTGTTCTAGTTGTGCACTTCTTTTTGTTTGCTAGTTGTGAAGTTGGATTAGGGGTGTAAGTGAGTAAAGCAGACTCCTGAGTTGACTTGAGCTTGGCTTCATAAATAGCTCATCAGCCAAGCTTAATTAGCTAACAAGTCAAGTTTGAGCCAGCCTTGACTTGACTCATTAGCTTGCGAGCCAACTCTTTTAAAAATATTACAATAAAATACACTTAAAGTCAGTGTTTTCAGACTCAAATCAGACTAGCTAGTTCAACCTGTTGAACCGAGAACCGATCAAGTAACTAGTCCATTCAAAATTAAGAAATGCTTTAGCATTGAACTAGTCAAAATCAGAGCAAATCGCCGATCTAACCAAATAAACAACGAACTTGTCTTAATTTTTTAAAATTGGCGGTTCAATTGAACCCTTTAAAAAATTTAAATTAATTTAATAAATTTATATAAAAATTTAAATAAATTATAAAACGTAGCAAATTAATTTAAATTATAGATATTTTATTTTATAATAAACATTAAATTTCTATAATAAGCATTACGTAAAAATACAAACTAAGTATTCTCACATGACCCCTCCACTCTATGTGAGTTCTTAACACAAATTTAAAATTGACGGAATTCAAATTTTCAAAAATTATTATTTTTGCATAAATTATATTTATTTGTAATCATGAATTTTTATTTTTGCTTAATTATTACATAATTACTATATCATTTATATATGGCCTAAATTATTGCATAATTCTATTTACATCATTATTACATCATTCGGGTTCACCCCCGATTCGAACTTGGTTGAACCATTGAACCTTGAACCTCTTCTTCTTTATGTTTTACGTCCGGTCCAATTTTCACAACCTTGCTTAAAATATATTAAAAATTAGGAGTTCAAGTATAATCTATTAAAAATTTTTAAAAAATATTTCTATCTTTTTTATATCAAGTGATTTTTTATTATTTATTTTCTAATTTATCTTTTTTTATAATTGTACTATAATAATTATTTAAATCATAATTATTTTTTCTTTTTTATTATAAACGAGCCGGCTCATGAGCAAGCTTGAACTTATGGAATTAAAATCTAGCTCGAGCTCGAACTCAATTAATCAAGCTCAATCTCAAGCTAGGTGTGACTCAAACTCGGCTCGACTCATTTACTCCCATAGGCTTGATCAAGTATAAAGAATGATCTCCTCTTCCATCCTTGGGCATGAAAGCTACTGGTCAACATCTGCTAAAGTCATCCATTTAATTTATCTTTAAACCATGATAAAATATTCTTCTTTCTTTATTGCTTTCACTACACCTTACATACTCTGTGTTCATCTCTCTAGGTTGGACTTAAGTATCTATCAGGGACCATTACTGGTGGGAATGCTCGATGTCAAGAAATGCTTCTGGCATTTCGTGAGGCAATTATAGATTACTCTACACCGCCAGAGAAAGTTCTTGTACGTGATTTGACCTCGAAAATTGGTAGTTATGTTTCATTTTTAATTGAGTGCAGGCCCCTTTCCGTTAGCATGGGAAATGCTATCAGGTTTTTGAAGAATAGGGTTGCAAAGTTACATCATAATGTGTCGGAATCTGAAGCAAAATCCCGTCTTATTTCGGATGTAGACCGTTTCATTAATGAGAAAATAATAGTTGCTGACCAGATTATAGTTCAACATGCTGTCACAAAAATTAGGGATGGTGATGTACTACTCATATATGGATATTCAACTGTTGTTGAAATGATATTACTACATGCACATGAGCAAGGAAAGCAGTTTCGTGTCATGGTAGTTGATTCTCGGCCAAAGCTTGAAGGAAAAATATTACTTCGTAAATTGGTTATGAAAGGTCTCAGCTGCACATACACGCACATAAATGCCATTTCGTACGTCATGCATGAAGTTAAATGTGTTTTTCTTGGGGCATCTGCAATATTGTCCAATGGAACTGTTTTTTCAAGAGTTGGAACAGCTTGTATTGCAATGGTCGCTCATGCATTTAGAGTTCCTGTTCTCATATGCTGCGAGGCATATAAGTTCCATGAAAGAGTGCAACTTGATTCAATATGCTCCAATGAACTTGGTATGCCTGAAATGCCACATATATATATATATATATATATTGATTGGTCTAGTCTAGTTAATTCTTTACTTAATTTTGTCAACTAAGCATTATTGTGAATTTATAATTCTAAAATATAGGTAACCCAGATGTAATCTCAAACGTTCCTGGGAAAGAAGATGTGAATCATCTGGCAAATTGGGCTGATCATAAGAATCTTCAGCTTTTGAATCTTTTGTAAGTGTGCAATTGTCTGGTTTTTCAAGAAGATGCCATTTTGATGTTTAGTTTTAGTGAACAAAAAATTTTCTCTGTTGTTTTACAGTTATGATGCAACTCCTTCTGACTATGTATCGATGATTGTGACAGAGCATGGAATGGTGAGTAATATCAGACCTTGATTTTTTATTTTTGTTATATTTTTTTGTGAATATTAAAAATATGATTTAAGAATTTATTATTCTTTATTAGCTAATGGATACTTATTTTAGGAATTTCATGGCTTACTAAACTTTTTAATACTATTTTGAAGACTAAAAAGATGCCAGATGAGTGGAGAATGAGTATGTTAATTCCTATTTTTAAGAATAAAGGTGATGCACAAGTTTGTGCGAATTATAGAGGTATTAAGTTAATGTGTCATACTTTAAAACTATGGGAGCGAGTTATGGAGCATAGGTTGCGGTGTGATACTAATGTTTCTCAAAATCAATTTGGATTCATGCCGGGTAGGTCGACTATGGAAGCCATACATTTATTAAGAGGTTTGATGGAGAAATATAGAGAAAATAAGGAGGATCTACATATGATATTTATTGATTTAGAAAAAGCATATGATAAAGTTCCAAGAGAAGTGCTATGGAGAGTTCTTGAAAAGAAAGGAGTCAATAATGCTTATATTCAAATCATTAAAGATATGTATGCAGGAGCTATTACTTGTGTTCAAACACAAGGTGGATTGACCAAGTATTTCCCTATTTCGGTTGGGTTACATCAAGGATCAGCCTTAAGCCCAAACCTTTTTGCTTTAGTCTTGGATGTTCTCACTAGACATTTGCAAGAGGATGTACCTTGGTGTATGCTTTTTGCTGATGATATTCTTCTTGTTGATAAGACTAGAGAGGGAGTTGAAGATAAACTTGAATTATGGAGGTCAACCTTAGAGTTTAAAGGTTTTCTCTTGAGTAGATCTAAAACGGAATATATGGAGTGTAATTTTAGTAGTAATAGACCTAGTGAGGGGATTGTGACTTTGGGCGATCAAGTCATTAATAAGAGTACACGTTTTAGATTTCTTGGATCTATTGTTCAGAGTGATGGTGAAATAGATGGGGATATTATCAGCAGAATTCAAGTTGGATGGTTGAAGTGGAGGAATGCATCGGGCTTGTTATGTGATAGCAATGTACCCCTCAAACTTAAGGGAAAATTCTATAAGATGTTAGTGAGGCCTGCAATGTTTTATGGTGCCGAATGTTGGCCATTAAAAGAGAAGCATAATACTAAGTTAAGTGTGGCAGAGATGAGGATGCTCAGGTGGATGAGTGGCTTTACCCTTAGAGATAGGATTCAAAATGAGCATATACGTGAAAAGGTTGGAGTAGCTCCAGTAGAAGATAAGATTAGAGAGAGTCGCCTTAGATGGTTTGGTCACATAAAACGGCGGCCTTGCGATGACCCGGTTAGGAGAGTAGAGGTATTAGATTTGACTTATGTTAAGAAAGGTAGGGGTATACCTAAAAAGACTTGGTTAGAAAATATTAGGAATGACCTTCTTTATTAGATTTAAACGAGAATTTGACTTTTAATAGGACACAATGGAGAAAAAGGATTCATGTAGCCGACCCCACGTAGTGGGATAAAGGCTTGATGTTGTTGTTGTTATTGTTGTTGTTGTAGCTAATGGATACTTATCATGATACCTTAATTTAAATGTTTTAGTAACCTAATAAACACGGTAAACAGATCATTATCTAGTATGCACTTGAATTGTGCTACTTGATTACAAATAATGAGCATCCATATGCTTTGGGAGTTCTGAGGGCACAAAATGATTTGAGATCATCATTGTGATTTTTCGGATGAGAGGGTCGTTTTGGAGCTATTGTTAAGTTTTTTTTAGTATAATATGAAGGTCTCAAGTTTGATTCATGGAATCAGTCTATTTATAAAATGCAGGGGCAATATTGCATGCATCAAATTCTTCCTAGAACTTGCACCGTGAACTCCCTTCACTTGGGTTTAAAGTCCCAGATGTATCTCAAAACTCAATTCAATTGAATTCAACCAAAACAACAAATGACGAAGTGATGTCACGCAAATTCAAAAATTCAATTCAAAATGCATTGCATGCTTGAAAAAAAATTTAACTCTCTCATTTCACAAAATGGACTATACCAACACATCCTAAGCCTAAAGTTAACAAGAAAGGAATCTCATCATTGATTAGATCAAACATCACCAGAAAATCGTCAACATATGTGAAATTATGCTAGTCTTATACTCGAAGCATATCAAATGAAAATCATTCAAATGTCATCCTCTTGGCAAAATGGATGATGCAGATGCATTCAAGGCTTTGAAATTATCAAAAGGGAAATTTCATGATCGATTCGATTGAGCATGACCAAAATGATTGACTACAAATGTGAGGTCATACAAATTTGATTTTAAATGCCTCAATTGCAATTAAAATAATTTAATTATTGCCCTTTTCATGGACTATACAGACATGTATGGAGCATAAAAAATGCTAAAAATTACGCTCATATTTGCTTGGATAGCAACACAAAAAAATTGAAAAAGTACCTATGTTGGAGGCGGTGATAGAGACAAATGTCGATTCACACATGATTCTATTGCTATTATTATTATTATTATTATTATTATTATTATCATTATTATTATTATTCTTACATGATTTATTTAATCAAATAACAAATCCCGTCAAAGCTCAAGCTCTCTACTGAATCCCTAAAGCTCAGATGTTGTGCATGTGATGTTGCGTCCTTCCTATTCATTTAGTTCGGCTGTTTAAAAAAAATGAAATCACAAAAATTTTTTAGACCTAAACCCTCGCTCATTCATTTGACTGTGTCATACTCTTTGACTTATCTCTTTAAACAAACCGCAAGCCCTAGCTCACCCGCTTTCTACCTACTTAGCCCACTCTTCCCTATCCCTAAGGTTTTACCTGATTTCCTATAGCCATAAAAAAGTCACAACAGGAGTTCGTAGGTCAAGGCATCAGTGGTACTAATGATCTGCTAAGGAGCAGAGGAGCTCGTGTGACCTCCAACTAACTAATCCATTGCCCATTTATCTTGCATACACACCACCCTATCTTAGTCGACGTGACCCCGTGACTCCAAGTAATCGACCATCATATCTTTCCCTTGACCTCAACTTAATTGATCCATATATTGATAGCCCAAATCGCCCAGTGCTCTCAAATAGGTCACCAGGTCCCTCTCGCCGAACTTCTCTCTCACTAAACCATACATGCCCGCATGCAAACCCATTAGAGATCTCATAACCTTCCTCTTACACGAGCTCGTGTCCTTCTGTTTCTGCTTCACATAGATGAGCGAGCAACCACACTTGCCATCGTTAATAAGCCTCCTTCCCAGTAGGGGTGTCAAAACTTGACCCTAACTAGAACCCGACCCGTATACGACCCGAAAATTCTAGGTTTGGGTCAACCTGTTTGCTATATGGGTCTGGTTCGGGTTCGAGATTCCGACCCATTTATAAAATTGGGTTGGATTCTGGTTGAATCGAAAACCCAAAATCAACATGAAATTACCCGGAGGCACCCGAATAATAGAGGGTCTTATCCCGAACCTGCATCCGGACTCTTGATTACGGACCCGCGTTCTTGCGCTGCCCCTCCGCACTACTTCATCTACCAGCGTCCATGTTATTCCAGTATCCCTCTTGTATCTATGGTGTTTGTGGATCGCTCGATTCTGCACTACTGCACCATGCTGGTCGCAAATTAGATGCAGCGCACCAACGCTCTATTCGATCCATCACGGTGAGGCTTTCGTGCACCCAAGCAATCCATGTGGGTTTTCATCACATATAGGCACGTCCAGTCATTGTAGCTGGTCAGATAATGACCAATCCTAATCATGGACAAATCCTCCGCCGCTATGGCAAAGCTCTGCCGATGATTTAATCCCGCTATTTTCCTTCTCATTATCTTCTTTTTCAATTCTCCTATCACTTCTCCAGCCAACCCTAGCTTTGGTTGAAGACGGCGAGGGACTGGAGGAGTTCACTGATGAGCTTCTTCTGAAACTATTGTCCTATCGAAAAGGGCTTGCCCATATCCACTTTCAGAGCTCAGCCCCTACTTCTGCCACCAACAGACGCCATCACTGCCTCTTCCCCAAGACCATTGCATAGCTGGTTCGGTTTCCTTGTATGGCGTCACTCGCGTCCGGACTCTCAAAGTCTCGATCCTGGATTTTCATGATCCCGCCCTCGACAGCACGCCAGGGCTCCATCCAGGACTACACAACGCCAGCAAGCGACTCAACGAGCCCTAATTGCACCGCTCTCCACACGCAAAATTGGGTTCTTTGGTCGAGTTGAGTCAACCTGGTAACACGCGCGGGTCAGTTTCGGGACTTTTTGATCCGTTTGCAAAATTGGGTCGGGTTATAGTCAACCTGTTTGGACTTGAGTCAACTCGGGTTGGACCTGAACCCGACCCGTTGACCCATTTTGACTCCCCTAGTTCCCTATCAATCTTCTCCAACTCTGATGGCTATCACCAAACCAATTACTTTCTCCCTAGCTCTTCCATCTCTCTAATTCTAACCTTCTTTCCATCCCTTCCTCTCTCTCTTTCTCTCTCTCTTTCTCTTGGTTAACTATTCTCTCTCTAACCCACTCTCCATCTCTCTCTATATTTCTAATAGTTTCTCACTTTCTACCTCTTTACTCTCCTCTAACTCTCTTTGTCTCTCTCTCTCTCTATTTTCTTTCAGTTTCTCTTGTTCTCTAAAAGAAGAGTAAAAAAGGAAGAAAAAAAAGAGAATTAAAAAAAAAGAATAAAGACTTTCCCAAAAAAAAAAGAAGAGAGAAAAAACAAGAAGATTTTATTCCACTACATGGGTCGGTTACATGAATCATTTTTCTCGATTGTGTTCCATTATGAGTCAAATTCTCATTTAAGTATAATAAAAAAGTGATTTGTAATAATTTTTAATCATATTTTTTAGGTTTACTGCTACCTTCCTTAACATAGACCTTGTCTAATACATTTATTTTCATAAGAGCGTCATCGAAAGGCTGACATTTATGTGACCAAACCATCTAAGACAACTCTCTGTAATCTTATCTGTCACTACAGCTACTCCAACCTTCACGTATATACTCATTTTGCATTCTGTCTTATAGTGTAAAGTCACTCATCCACCTTAAAATCCTCTGCAACACTTAATTTTATGCTTTTCTTTTGATGTCTAACATTTTGCACCATAAAGCATTGCAAGTCTCACAATCATTTTATCAAATTTTCCTTTAAGTTTGAAAGATACTTTTCTATCACATAGCAGGCTCAATGCATTCCATTCCTTGAACCATCCAACTTGAATTCTACTAATAATATTCTCATCTATTTCACCATCCCTTTGAACAGTAGACCCGAGATGTCTAAAACATGTACTCTATATAATGACTTGTTCACCCAATGTCTTGACCTCTCCTCTGAATATATTACCATTAAAATTACACTATGCATTCGGTTTTAGATCTAGTCAAACGAAACCTTTAGACTTTAAGGTCGACCTTTATAATTCCTTTTTTTTTTCCTCCAACTCCCTCTCTAGTCTTATCAACAAGAAGAATATCAACTGCAAGAAGAATACACCAAGGTACATTCTCTTGCAAATTTCTGGTAAGAACACCCATGACTAAAGCAAAAATATATGGGCTTAAATCTGATCCTTGATTTAATCCAACTAAATCAGGAAAATACTCGGTCAAAGCACCTTGTGTTTGAACACAAGTGACAAGTCCTATGTGCTTATCTTTAATGACTTGAATATAAACATTATTAATTACTTTATTTTCTAGAATTCTTCATGCATTTCTCTGGGCCTTTATCATATGCTTTTTCTTAATTATTAAATATCATAGGTAGATCTTTTTACTCTTTATAAATCATCAAATTTCTTAATAAATATATAGCTTTCATAGTAGACTTATGTATCATAAATCCAAATTGATTGAGGAACATTAGTATCACGTTGTAATCCATGCTCAATTATCCTCTCCCATAATTTAACTGATAATTTAATTTGGGGGCCAAATTGGGCATTTTCTATTAGTCGGTGGACTATGTTGGGTTATAATGAAAGTTTGTGACTAAATTTGTCATTTATTAAAAGTCGGGGGATTATTTTGAATTTTTACTCATAACTAAATGTATTCTTGGCCCATCCTTGATTTTGAGTTCTGTTGAGGTATAATACTCCTTAAAATGTTACATTTATTAGGCTTTACAAGTAAAATTATCTAACAAAGCCTAACATGTATATTGTAAAATGAACCTATCCTATAGCCATAGAGAATACACATCAAGGCTGAATTCAAGTAGAGTTGCCTGTCGACTTAACCTGTGCTCATCGAGTCATGTAGATTAGATTCAGGTTTCATTTGGGATTGTTTTTTTATTATTATCTAAAACTGTTTTCTAGTACAAAAATATTTAATTCAAAAAAAAATTTGTATTAAAAAGCTGCTTTAGAAAGCTGTAAACAAGCTATCCCAAATGAAGCCTTAATAAATTGCTATGAAAACTTTGGTGTACAACACACACTAGACGGGATTTCATATAGCCAATGCAGATTAGCACGATCAACCGAATCTAATCTAGGCAGGATTTTGGTGTATAGAAGATACAAAAGAAAGATAGAAGAATAATCTGAGAAGATGATCTATCATCATACCTTTAATGTCATATAGTATACGGATGATATTAAAAACTATTTGATTGTCATGATCATTTTTCATCAAGAAACGCTTCCTTTAATGATGCTATGGCTGTTATAACCCTATAGCTGCAGCTGCTCTTATGACTCTCATCATATTCTTTTATCAAGTAAACTGTTGCTTCATGCGCTCGTCTTTCTTCTATCTTCCATAAAAATAAGAGAGCTTTTATACTAATTTTCAGGTTCCTCCAACCAGTGTGCCTGTTATTGTGCGAGAATATGGAAAGGATCAGTTCATATTTTGATAGCTTCCTTTCTGGCAGCAATACATTTTGCCTTGAAGATCGTATGTTAATTCCATAATATCACCTTTTTCTAGTATTTTTTCTCCCCCTTTGCTAGGAATAAATGGTTGATTTCAATCTCTAAAAGTTCCGGCAGCCTATATTTTACAGGGACTTTAACTAGTGTAGAGTGCAGCAGTTGGCCTCTCCAGGTATTTTTTTTTCTCTAGGATATGATTTTTTTTGCTCCACATAACTGTGTTGTGTAAGTGTAATTGTCTGAACAGAAATTTTGTTAATTTTCTCGGTGATCGATGCTATTTCTTTCTTTCCTCTAAATGTTTATGAAATTTTCAATTTATTTGTCCTTTGTGGAAATATTATGTGTTTTAACATTCATATAATTTAAATAATATGTTTTTTTTTCTCATAAGTTTAAAGTATATTAATTTTTTTTTAAATATAATTGAATTAGATCTTGCTTGCGTTTGACTTGTATATCAATCTCTTATATAGTTTTATTATAATTTTTTTTTTCAACTTTTTTTAGAACTAAAATTTTTTTCTTCAATTTTACTCAGTTATTTATGGAATGAATTGAACAATCAATGCATAATTTTAATAGATAAATAATGTTGGTTTAGACCATTATTTTTTTTCATAATTTTAAGAGATTTTTTTATTAAAAAGTATTTTTATAAAGAAATAAAAAGTAGTCTCCCAAATGAAGTTTAAGTTTTTTTTTTTGATTTTTTTATTGCTTCTTAAAATAATTTTTTAGTAGAAAAAATTTTTAAAAATTATTTCATTTAAATGAAGTTAAATAGAAATGATTAATCTCCCTTATTTGGTTATATCAAATAAGCCGCAATTGGCATTTCCTGTAATTATCAATCTTTAGTTCTCATCCTATGCTAACTTCCTTAGGATTCTTTGATATTTTTTCTTAATGTGCGATTGAGAAATGAAACGAAGGTTTCTCCAATCTTTATTTGATCGAGAAATTGTGGCTTTATCTTTATATGATATTTAGTAATTAGAGAGGAATTTCTCTAATTAGATATTTGATTTTTGAGAAGAGAATCTTATAGTTTTTGTTATTTATCTTTGATACATCCTCAAAAAATTATCTTGATATGTCATGAATCTCGAGGCAAAATCAAGTTGGAAATTTCTGATATTAAAATTGGGATCATCCGAACTCTAATTTCAGCCAACTTACATTCAAACAAAATCTCTTGAAAATATGAACTCAATAACACTAAATTCAAATCAATTCGAGCCCAAATGAGTCCAAATCAAGGGTTAGAAGTGCTGTTGAAAGGTTCGAACCACAATTTGGATTACTAAACGATTTCCAAACCTGACATGCTTATAGTCGAATCAAGTGGCTCGACGAGACGCATCCAACGAGCTAAATTTCATTAAATTCTGACATCACTAAGACATTCAATTGTCCATCAAACAGTCCACGATCAAGGGATTCAACATCGGCCATCCATCGAAACCACTCTTCATTTGCTCTAGATCTTCTATTTATTTAAGGGTCATGTCACTCTAAGAAATCTAGAATTAGAGCCTCATTTTCTCTTGAAAAGGGACCCCTAAGCCAAAGGATTCAAAAGAGAGATCGAAGATTGCTCTTGCCTCCTCGCCTCATCGTCTGGAGTTTCGTCGAACCACCACTTCAGGCCCTGAGTCTTGTCGGACCACCACCTGAGGTCCTGAGCTCTGCCGGACCACCACTTGAGGCCCTTAGTCTCACCAGACCATCACCTGAGGCCCTAAGCTCCGCCAAACCACCACTTAAGGCCCTGATCGGTCCATCGCTTGTAGCCCTGAGCTCCGTCGAACCACCACTTGAGGCCCGGAGTTTCTCCATACCAACACTTGACGCCTTAAATCCGCCGAACCGCAAGCCTGGACTTCTACCAGACCACCACCTGACGCCCAGAGTTCCGCAAGACCATCACCTGACGCCCAGAGTTCCTCCAGATCACCACCAGACACCCTGAGTTTTGACAGACCATCACCTGCACTCGGTGTTCTGCCAAACCACTACATGACGCCCGAATTTCCAAGTAACGTCGGACTTCCGACGAATCACTAAGTGATGTTAGACCTTCATCCCCATTTGTCGTTAGATTTTAACCATTCAGTTGACATTTGTAATCTGATCGTCCTTAAGGATGAGTCAGCCCACTGTAATCTACTCGAATTTTGGTGGAATTATTTTCAACTGGGCCAGACCCCTTGGTTTTTTCTTTTTTCAGGATTTTCCACATAAAAAATCTCTTGTTCTCTGTGTGTGAGCTGGATATCCATACAACACTAAGACGTGTGATTATAACTCTATCGCCGCGTATATTGTAGCTCGCAACAATCTTAAATTTAGTCATGCATTTGGCCCTGGATTTATCTAGGCTTTATCAACTCGTAAAAGAAAATCACTATTTTGATTAATTAATTTTTTCGATGTTTGTTTTTATTTCTCTTAGATTAATCTATCTGATTTTTTTTTTTGCATCATTAAAATTTTATGTTATTACTATCAAACATATGTTTTAGATTTCGTTTGAGATTAGTTTTTACTATTCATGAAGCAATATTTTAGTGCAAAAATTTTTAATTCAAAAAAGTTTTGTATTAAGAAATTGTTTCATAAAGCAGTAAGAAAGCTGTCTTGAATTCAACCTTAAGGCATCTCCAACCGAACATTATACTCTTGTTTGACATCCTCAAACTTCTCTAATCGAATGACAAAAGGAGTGCATTCTCCCATTCGTGAATAGTGTGTCGTCAATATTTGCGTTGTATTATTCACAAAAGCATTTTTTCGGAAATATAGAAAGCGGAAGGGAGAAAAGCTAGCACGTGTGGTTGATATACATAGATTTTTATTTGGTTAAGAAATAGAGTTCAATTGGAAATGAATTATTGCATTTTAAATTATTATTGTATTTTTGAGTGGAAAATAAATTTTTTCGCTCAGAGATATCTTAGAAATTCAATGTGAGCAATGATTTCAAGATATGAAGTAGGGGTGGAAAAACTGGTAGACGGGTTGGGTTCGGGTCAAATTCGAGTTGACTGGGTCTAAACGTGTCAACCTGAACCGTTTTTTGCAAAAAGGTCAGGTATTTCAACACAAACCCTAGCCACACAGATTACCGGGTTGACCCGACCCGCAGACCCGTTTAGTAAAAAAAAGGGGCGAGTGCAACGGACGACAGGAGATTGGGTGAGCGGTAGCTGCGGTACAAATCCACCTTCTCATTCACCTTCCTCACCGACGTCACCACCGCATACTCTGTAGCCATATACCCGAATGACCCCGCCACCACCGACGCGCTCCTGCTCGCGTCCCCCCGCTAGAATCCGGCCGAGCCTAAAATCACCAATCTTGGCATGAAATTCCTCGCTAGATAACGTGCAGGAAAGGGATTTAGAAAAGCTCGCCTGAAATTCCTTAGTGTTGGAGAAGTTATTGCCTTTTTCGTTGAACATTCTGAGGCTGCCGGTCAAAGAAGGGATTTTTCCCATGAATTGATTGTTTCGAAGAACTAATAGCGTCAGATTCCATGACAGTTTATCAGATTTCACGACGGAGAGATTCGACGCAGACCAAATTTCTCATGCTATTCAGCTATGGAACGCCTTCTACCTGACGGACGCCGGCGGCCACCTGTCCGGCCGAAAGACGATAGAGCATAGAAGCTGTCATTGAACGCATTGCCCACAACAGATCGACGGTGGAGTGCGAGGCAGAGAAAAAAAAAATGATTAAGGCGGGCTATTACGCAAAACCGGCAGTCAGATAATTTTTTAGCCTTCTCAGATTTCGGGTCAAAGTCGGGTTAATGGGTCAAAGTCGGGTTAGCAGGTCAACGCTAACTTGATCCAATTTTTCAAATGGGTCAAAAATTATAACTCGAATTTATATTTGCTCGTATTTGATTTGTTTATGTTTATGAAGCTGTTCATTATTAAGCTTTATACAAATAGTATATTTTAAAAATTAAATTGAGCTTAAAATTTTTATTTCATTTTAATAGAACTTGTAAATATTTAATTTAATTTTTTTAATTCATTTAAATTTTTTTCTTCCATACAAATATAAGATTATGCTATTAGAAACAATAAGGGCACATGGCTGCCTCACAGAAGTATGTTTGTTGTTAAGGTTTCATTTGAAATGATTTTTTTATTGCCGATTAAAATAATCTAAAAATTTGATTCAAAGGTGTTTTGATATATTGATAAACATAAATCAGAATTAATAAATTTACATACAGAAATTCTTAGGAATCAATTGAAATATATTTCATTTTAAGATTTTATTTTTTTATGAATCTTAATCCAGAATTAAATCGAATAAGTTAATTAAGTATTTAATGTATGATATAATATGCATAGTCTTAATCAAGCTTTATTATGAGCATCATATTAACCTTTAATCAAGCTTTTCATCGAGCATTTATCGAACTTCTTTACGATCCTATTGGCGAGCTTGAAATGATATTTTTTATAATCATAAAAGAGTTGAGCAACAAGATGTTTAAGCATGTTCATTTAACAATCGTGTATTTATAAAAAGGTTCAACTGTTCAAGTTAATTTAATAAATTAATTAAACAAACATGAATGAATCCTTATCGAACTAAACGACAAATAGTTTGTCAAATGATTGATTCATTTGTAGACCTAAGTTACTTATTAATTATCTTTATTTTTAAGAATAGATGTTAATATTTTAGAATAAACATGATACATCTTTATAAGAGCATTTGGATGTTTTTAATGAGTTGTTTTTGGATCTAGTAAATTTAGAAGTGAAGACATAATGCCTGTTATATTCTTTATCATTCATTTATGAATATATATATATATATCCAGAGGCGGAACCAGTCATAATTTTCAGAAGGGGCAAACTTATAAGCAACTGTTCGCATATATGTCGAGGGTCCAAGGGGGCAGCAACCCCTGGTGGGGTTCAACCTGCCTGGTCAGGTCGCGGGGTAAATGGGTAGCGCCCCTGCGAGAGTTTCCGGGGGCATCGCCCCCGGAACAAATTTTGATTTACTATTTCTCTTTGTATTTGGTTCATCATTCCCTAACAATAATACATCTACACAATGTAATTAATTATATTGGGGGCAATTGCCTAAAAACCATAGTATTTTAATATTTTTAGGGGGGGGGGGGCAATTGACTAAAAACCCTTGTAATAAATACTAAAAATCATCTAAATAAGAGTATAAAAAAAAAATTTTTTTTGAGGGGAGCAATTGCCCTTCGCTCCTCGGCGACGCCATTTCTTATATCAACGAGTTGAGATCGAAGTTACAATCACTGGAGAGTGACAAAGAGGGGCTGCAGTCTCAGCTCGAGTCACTAAAAGAGGAGAGCGACGCGGGACCTTCACGGCCCCTGCCGCCTCTCCTAGCGGCGACGGCGGAGCATGAGCTTAAGTTGATGAATGGCTACGGGCGGACCGCTGGCGTGGAGATCGAAGTGAAGCTTCTTGGCGTGGAGGCGATGATACGCATACAGTGCCAGCGCAGGAACCACCCGGCGGCGAGGCTGATGGCGACGCTCAAGGACTTGGATCTCGAGCTATACTACGCAAGCGTCTCGGTCGTGAAGGACCTCATGATCCTGCAAGCAACGGTCAAGATGTCGAGCTGCGGGTACACACAGGAGCAGCTCAGCTCCATGCTCTTCTCCCGCGTTGCCGATCCAATACCCCGGCGCTAGGTATAGATAAATGTCTTGTGCCACCTTCATCAAAACCGTTTCTTTTTTCTTGTTTTTGGTTTTTTAAGCCGAGTGTTGTATCATCATCTGTTTTTGTGTAGGTTATATGGATTCCAAAATTTCTACAATAATTTTTAAAACTTTCATCGATACATCCATAATATAATTAATAATTATTATGTAAGCCTTCAGTGATGCATGTATCAAAACTTCATGATAATGTCACTTGAATATTGCAATATCTACATAAGCATAATAAAATTCAATGTATATATATATATATATATATATATATTTAAATTTTTTTATTTTCTTTTTGAGTTTCAACAACAACAAAAAATCATCTTTTATGAGTTTCTCTTCAAAACTTATCTATTCATATATATTTAAGATATTTGTTCAATACGAAAATAATATTTATTCTACTGCCACAAATATTCTAGCACATAACAAGAACAAAAAACACTTAATAAAATGTTGTTTAGAAAACTTCCAACAAAAATGCTTTCACAAATTTTAGTAATTTCAGTTAAATATTTTCATTTAGCTATGTCCTTATTAAGATAAACTTATCATATTATAATGATATCAAAATCATAATTCATAATAAAGTTTATTAAAATCATTCAACAACATCTAACTGTCACAGTATTTAAAAAAAAAAAAAAAAAAGCAATCAAATGTTTTACATGACAACACAATAAATAATAGTATTTCCAAAAAAAATAAAAAAAATTTATAATTATAACCTGGAAGTGGCACGATTCATGTCGGACGGTGTGATGACATGACTGCGGGTAATTTGCTTGAGAGATGTGCAGCCACTGAGAGCCATAGACAGCTCAAACTCATCTCTAAGCATCTGCAGCATCTTTCTTACTCCAGCTTCTCCATCCACTGCTAATGAGAACACCACAGGCCTTCCAACCTGAGCTCATGCAATGATTTGTATTAGTATTAGCGAAGAGCTTAGGGTGGGCAATTGCCTGTCTACCTTGAAGTTTTTTTTCTTAGAAGAATAAATATTTTAATTATTTAAACCACCTTCAATAAATACAGTTACTGAAATTCTAAGAAAAAAGTTTCTTTCCTATTTCATATATAAAATTATGCATTTCACAATTCTATCTTTCCCACATTTTTACTTTCGCCCCTGATACTTGCTGAAATTTATAGGAAATTGAATCTCTTGCTATGAAAACAAAATAACTCTTGGGGATAGTGCAAAATGCCATTTTAATTTAAGATGAAAGTAATCTCCTAGCCGATCTCACGTAGTGAGATAAAGACATGATGTTGTATGAAGGTAATCTCCTAAGCTTTATCTTTTGTATGCTATTTTACATGATCATGAAATACAAGATCACATCATTGATAGTTTGAATTAACTTGAAAAAGAATTGTGGATCAAGTTTTTTAGAATTTAGCCCTTTATCAAGCCTATAAAGAAAAAAAAAAGATGAATGGAAGATATATAAAAGCCCTCTTGTAAGTCTAGTTTAATCATGTATTTCAACAATAAAATCACCAAAAATATTCTAAATATCAGCAACAAGCTATATACTTAATTTCATGTCATTCGAAGGACTCCATACATGAAAAATCAGAATTATCATCCTATACGATCAAAATCAACTACAGAGAAAATTTTAATAATGATTTTAGGAGTTCTGGGGATGACAAATCTAAAATTTAATGATTATGAGAGAATGGAGAGGTTTAGTCAAATACTTCTAAGTTCATAATATAGAAATTTGAATGACGGGGAAAAATTATTCTCTTTGTAGGAGGAGAAAAAACCATCCCTTACAGTTTAAAGCAGTAGCCACTTACAAAAACACCAGAGGCTCCCAGAGCTAATGCTTTGAAGACATCAGTTCCACGTCGAATTCCGCTGTCCAAAAATACAGGAACTCGGCCTTCTACAGCCTTGACAACCTGAATTTTACAGGAGAGAGATTGTTCATGGTGAGCTTATCTCATCTGTAATGCTCTTTGATTTTGAATATTAGTTACCAATATTGGTGACAGAGTGTAACGGTCAATTTTAGTGACATTGGGAAAACTTTACTGTAATCTATGGCTATGACTGTTGAAGACTTTAAATGGAAAAAAGTTAACTATTTATGAATAGTGCAAGGTCCGGAGAGAGATTGATGAAAACAATCTTTACCTCTGATTCTTTGAGTTAAATAATGTGACCTAATTTTGTTTTGTTTTTTAGCTTGCACTTTCTTAATGCTTTTGCTTAAATAAAGTAGATCCAAGACAATAACCATGCCGTTAGAACACTTGGTTGTTTTTTTCTTTTTTAAAAGCTGTACTAAAATTATATTTAGAACATTTTTTCAGGGTTATATTAGTGAGTAAAGTGACAACAAATTGAGAGGTATACAAGTACTGTTTCTACCCAAGTTGGAAAAATTTTATACGGTTACCTCTTCAAGAGCAGTGATAGTTGCTGGAACATAATCAAGCTGACGGGCACCATGGTTCGATACGATGATACCGGCTGCTCCATTTTGGATGGCAAGCCTTGCTGCATATATTAGGAGTTTGAGAACATCGTATGATATGAATGAATGTTACATTTGGCTTACAAAGTTTTTATAATTTATGAGAAAGACAATTTCTTACCATCTTCCTGAGTTAGAACTCCTTTAACAAGAATTGGCAAGGAAGTGATTGTCTGCAACCACTTGACATCCTGGTATCATTGTGAAAAAACAAAGGAACAATTTTGTAATAACATAAAGATAATCAGAGTAAAATTAAGGGGTTGTTTGGAATTGCTACTATATATTTGTTTTAAAAAAACATGATTGTGCTATGCTTTTTTTTTGTTTTTAAAAATAAATCAAATTATTTTAAAAAGCATTCAAAATAAACAAATATCACAACCAGCCTGTTGACCTCAACAGGAAAACAAAACAACACCACCTCAAATCACTTGCAGTTCAGCACCGGATGTCCTCTGCATGAGCAAATACGAGAAATTCTGTTCAAATTCTGCACGCCTCAGTGCCACGACGTGCTCCGGATGAGTTCGAACGTCTGACATCGTTCGACGCACGTCTCGATGCTGCTCCGCTCGTCCTGTTTCCCAAGATCTATGCTACGACCTCATCGTCAAGAAAAATCAAAGGAAAGATCTCAGGCATTACCTCTTCCATTCACAATTGAGCTCTCTACCTTCGGCTGACCGAAGCCCCAGACACTCCCCTGCTCTGTTCGAACCACAAGTGTCTCATCTTCACTTCCCTATAGCTCTTTATAGCAGTCGAACACTTCCCATCCGCAACTCCATGACCGATCAAATCGACCGACCCAAGCATCCTGACATTCGATCCCTCAACCAGCACACACCCCCTCTGCTCTCTATCAAACTTCCCAAGCTTCTGAACCTCCCTATCTTGTCAAGCGCAAACTAACCGTAGGTAACCAACGACCCACACCTATATATATATATATATAAAGAGATGACAAAAAAAAAAAAGAAAATAAAAAGAAAGAAAAATGAAAAAGAAAAGACGAAAGAAAATGAGAAAAAACAAAAAAAAATGAGGAAAAAAAAGAGAGGAAAAGAAATAAAAGAAGGAAAGAAGAAAAAAGGGGGGGAAATTAAAAAAAAAAAGAATTTTCATGTTTTTGTTGTCCTCGATCATCGTGTTGTCATTGCCATCATCGACCCAATCGTGAAGGTTTAACCCAAATTCTATCCTTGACGCTTGCAACATTGCAAGCAACCATCTATATGCGTTTTTCTTAGCGTGGTGGGAGGAAACTTATTGTGGTGCTTGCGACGAGGCACGTAAGCCTTATGCGAGCTTTTCTTAGCGTGGCGGCGCAAAAATTAAGTACCCTTGTACGTGCCTCGGTGCCTGCAAAGAAAGAATTATGTATTTTTAAACAGGTACCCTTGAAGACCCATGCACACCTTTCTTGGTATAGTAGGATTAAAGACTAAGACTACGGTTTTATTTGAGACCAATCGTGCACGTTTTTCTTGACATGGCGGGAAGTCTGACTCCCAATAACTTCCCCAAAATGGGGGATATGCCGGGATGCTGTCGAAATTCTGACTAATAGAGGAATTGATTTTAACAAGAATGCAATAAACAAAACTTGTAGAATGAACAACATGAACTAAACCCTAAACATTAAAATGCACAATTAAATTTAAAAATACAAATGTTAAATAACAAGTTCAAGTCACTCAAACAAATATGAATGAAAAAGTAGGGAACTTATGATAGATGAAATGCCTTAAAATTGATAGATGAAATTCCAGAAACTGCTTACTTAGAAGCAATGATCAAATAGTCAATGTACATCACTTACATCAGTAATTCCCTACAAACAGGAAAGATAGTTGTGCACTGAATGACGACTTGCCAGCCTACATTAGCAAAGAGTGTAATACATTTGACATTCAATGTTAACATACAAATGGACACAATAACTCGTCAACCAATAACTGCACATGCCCTCGCAATTAATGACAATAAAATATTTAGCATATGCATAAACTCCCTGCATATGAGCACACTAATTCGCGTGCAAATAACAATATTGGGGACTATTCTATAAGTGACATCAAAATAATGAATGCAAACACATGCAATGCTAGAAGACTTGTGCTGTACATAATGCTCCATCCACAAGCAAATATACATGCGGCAGCTGCCTATGTACAAAAATCCAGTATGTGATGAATGTAGAAATTTGTCAGCCAACATGCATGAAGAGATAGGTGATGAATGCAATGACCTGATAATCAAGATGTGTGCCAGGAGTCTAGAATATATAGTTCACATGCTGTTTCATGGTCGCAAAGATAGTCACGATAGTCACCTTGCGGACAATTTGCAAAAGACAGTGGCACAATGATTCACACACAGTCACATATGAAGAATGCAACATGACTGGAGATGAAGAAGTGAAGGTTATAGTGAAGATAACCTGCTTACCACCAGCAATTGTTAGCTGGTAAACAAGTGTATTGGCACGCTTATGAACAACGACAGTGGATGTAGCAGCTTTCCAGCTAACATTTATAGACGAATATACTCTTTACATGACACCTATAAGCAGTGATGATAGATGTGTTGCAAGTATGGTAGATCCCTTGCAAGCAGAGCCAGTCAACATGTAACGAATGCAACAATCTCCCTACGATCGATGACATCTATCTGGCAGATGCATGTAGCAGTTCCCAGGAATATTGGAAGGCATGCAAGCAAATGTAGCAACTCGCCAGTCCACATACAAGGAGAAACCAGTGATGAATGTAGCTCAATTGGTAGCCTATATTAATAAGCTGACACACAATGATGGCTCGCAAATGATAATATTCCTTACAAATGTTCACTACGCTGATAGTGTATATGGTGCAAGGATGTTAAGTCCCTCGTGAACAAAGATAATATTTGCAAGAAGAGACTAAAGATCGCAACGAATATAGGAGGATTACAGCAGATGCAAGCATAAATGAACTACTGTGGAAAACTCTTGCAGTTAACAACCACGCTGAGAAGAAACGCACCCATTGTACATTGGACCTGGAAGTTTTGTCGATCAAGTGCAATTAAGTCCTCCAATTGACAACTCTAGAGAACCTGATAGTGATAGTTGGGATAAAAGACGTAAGAAGAATGCATGCCAATGTATTATTAGAGTAAGGCCCAAACTGTGACACTAAGCATGCAAAATTGAATGATTTTTTAGAGTCAAAGAATGAGCAGCATAAGAAAAAAAAAATGTCACATTCTATCATCTCTTCAGAAATACTGAGGTTTCAGGAGAAATATTGTATTATTTGAATAAAGGACAGATACACGGAGATCAAGCTTCACAACCTAATGTCCTACACGTGCATCACAAAATGTTGTAGCTGTAGATTGGAGAAAGCTGCTCTTAGATGCCATGTCGAGGACTCTAGGAGAAGCTTCCACATCCCATATACATATCAGATGCTAAAATGTCATTAACATACTGAAAACTATCCTATGTTTTGTCATGTTCATGCTTCGAGGAGAATGCATTGTGGCGAATTGAAAATGAGGAGAGCTAATAGTGCCTCAGCCGAGCCTTTGGTCTCATTAGATTCTGATACCTCATCTATAACAAAATGACCTTATGCAAACTTGGATGTCCTCGTCTGGTCTAATTAAAAGTTAGATGATTCATGGATAAGATCTCTCGAAAAACGAGAAGATGAAGCTTGCATCAAAATAATGAAGCATCTCATGGTTATTCAGAATACAATGCTACAATTCACCTGTACGCAAAAGCAGAGAATCAGTAGTAAAAACCATGGGCCACTGAAGAGCAACGTCGCGCCACCAGATCTGCAACACTCGTATAAGCAGACAGAAGGCGTCTACAAGCTTTTAAATATAAAGTTGTGTGCCTTCAAACGATAGTTGCCCGCACAATTGATTAGTGCCAAATATTTTAAAATGCCCTCGTACATGAATTACAACAGGCATAATAATTCATGCAAAACACCCCGCTCATGCATTAAAACGTGCATTTATATGCATCCCATAATATGTGTGCATTTGTGATATACATAAGGCTTCATTCCAGCATGACATTTAACATTGAAATCAAAATTCAAAATGATCACATGTGTGCATTTATAGGATGCAATTGTTTTCATTCAAGTGTGTCATTTGACATTACAATTACATTTAAAAGTGGCTTAAATACATTTGTAGGATTCAGAGGGTTTCATTCAAGGATGTGTTACGCCGGCCCAGTAGGGACCGGCTGGACCGGTCCAGGTCTACACCCGGCGATAGAAAACAGGAGAGAGAGGGGGAGCGCGGAAATCCAAGGGGGGGGGGGAAGAGGGGGGTATCTTGAATTTGAATTTTTTATTTGAGATCTAGGTTTTCTTGCTTTAGGCTCTTGGTGTTGCCGGAGATTTGGAGAGTTGTTCTTCCTCTCGAATTGAAGAACAATTGTATCTTTGCTGATTTTATTCATCTACTAGTGAAATACAAGTCTTTATTTGAGTTTCTCTCAGTTTTCTGGCTTTTTCTCGCTGTCTTCCCTGTGATTGGCTGCTGTCCACTGCTGAAAACAGCAGTTTTCCTGCTGTTTTTTACTCCGATTGTGATTAGGTTTGCTTGCGGACTCAAGTATTCCTTAGGGTTACTTTCAAACTCAAGTATTTCCTATCAAATTGGTATAAGAGCGTTGTCTTGGGACCATCGGCGGCTGAAATTCAGAAATTTCAGCAAGGAACCTTCTTCCGCAAGAGAACTTCTCAGCAACCTTGGGAGAGAAGATGGCCAGAATGAAAGTAGAAGTTCTGGAGGGTGAAATCGGCCAACTAAAGACCGATTTGGAAGAAAGAACCGCTGAATTTCAAAATCAATTCGCTTCCATCCATGAAAAGATGGATGGAAGGTTCACTGCATTAGAAGAAATGATGAAGAAGATGTTAGAGGGCAAACAAAATCCGACGACATCGGAAGCAAGAGAAGCCACCGGCAACAATGGGAGATGTGGGAACCCGAACCCATTGAAGGGGAGGGAGACTACGGAAGTGGAGATCCTTGATGGGAATGACGGAATTCCTCCACTAGAACCGCTTTCTAGGGAGAAGATAAGCATGGGCTATGAGAGAAGGGGTGCTGAATTTTTTGGGAGAAGGGGATGAGTTCTACAGTCGAGGTGTTGCGGAGAGGAGAAGAG